TCTGACAAAAGGAAATAAGGCACACAGCCTTTACAACTTCTAGAACAAGACCCTCAAATGTCTACACAAAAGAAAATCTAAAGTGGAGCCCCAAATAAAACATATAACTAACTAGACAGCTGAAGCTAAAATGCATCGCCATCAACCTGCGACTCTCCGGGCTCCTGGCTCGTTACCTGAAAGGGGGAGGGACAACGAGCATCAAAGCGCTAGCGAGTAACATCACAACCAATCCCAAGGGAACAGGGCTCGTTGTATAAGAAAATACAGATAATATATAATAGATCTAAACTCATTGATCTTACTAAAGAGGGTTTTAGTAATTAGAAATTTACAACACGAGAATAGGTACGTCGAGCGAAATAATCCAAACAAGGAAACCCTCATGTATATACCTTATATCTCAAATTGTAAACCCCTAATCACCAAACCCGAGGTTCTAATACAGAAACAATAATAAAAGAAATACAACAAATCTCAGAACATAAGTGCAGTGCCATATCATAGCCTACATGAATATCATGTTAAAATTTACATAAGTGTCATGTCAAAATCTACATAACTATCATGTCGTGATCTTCTGTGAGATAGTCATATGCAGGGTTAAGAACTATGTCCAAAACAGGAACTATTTATATCGTAGTTTCCAAACTCATGAAGTAAGTGGCAAATGTCCAACACGAGGACTGAAATGGATTATAGTCCAGCACGAGGACTTCTATGGATTATAGTCCAACACGAGGACTGTGAAATGGTGAAAAATATCACTGTGATATATAGTGAAATCTACTTATATCAATCCCCACTCAAAATCTGTGTATATATCCTTAATTGGTACCCTCAGGTCATCTATCATGCATGGATACATAATAAGACTAGAAACCAGTGTCAGATGATCCAGGCAAAATCTCGAATATGAGAAAATACACAGAATAAGAAATTTGCAACAGACAGTTCGGCGGTCGACCGACTCGGTCGACCGCACTCTGATACGAGCCTGGCGGTCGACCGCTAGGCATTTCGGTCGACCGGCTGAACGTCGCGGTCGACCGGTGCGGTCGACCGCAGACTAATTCTGCCCCTACAGCGAGCTCAGCGGTCGACAACACTGGTCAACCGCCAAGCGGACAGAAACCAAATCTGGGTTTTCTGTCAGCTGCTAAACCTGAAATAAAAACTTGATATTTTACGATAACAAGAGTTCTAAAGTTTCAAAAATCTTACAGAAGATAAACAACTAATCCCAAGCTTAAAATCTACATATCCAATATTCTAAAATACATGAGAAACAAGTCCAAAAATGTTTTAATAACAGTAAAAATGATTTAACTCTTGTTTAGGCAAATTTCAGATCTAGATCTTTATAATACAAAACATTTGTGAATTTTTATAAACTGAAACCTCTGATTCTTGTTAACCATATTATAGAGAGTTCATTTTTATACAAAAAATACCATTTTGGCTCATCAAAACTCATAAAAATTCAAAAGAAAACCATAGAAAACAGGGGTGAGGGATTGGGCGAGATGATACTCGCCTCTGGTGAGCAACGGATCGCTGAAGCTGAAGGAGAACGTTTTCCTTCGCTGAATCCCACCAAGAACTGCTGCAAATCCTCAAGAACTTCTCCCAAATTACTAAACAAAGGGGATTAGGGTTTTAGGGAAGAGAGGGGGGCTAGGGTTTTGATTTCAGATCTCAAAAGGGGCTCTCTCGGATATATTAGCCTATATACCAACTCACAACCCGACCCCAAACCCGTTTGAACCCGAACCTGAGAAAACCCTCTGATCGCTGTGCGGTCGACCAACGCGGTCGACCGCGTCGGTCGACCGCGCAACACAAAAATGCCTGCTGCTAGGCATCTCACATGCTGGCCATATCACTCGATTTCTCTCACTTATAAACACCTGTTGGGTTCCCAAACACTGATAAATATATACATCTTATATATATATGCTTATTTATTTCAAAAGAAAGATTTATTACTATTTATTCACACAATTTCATTATAAAATTTCGGGGTTTTACAATTGTGAATACTATGTAAACATGCGTGTGCTGCTATTAACTTTATGCATAGAGATGTATACCACTATTGCAATTGGTTCATGATGACTGAAGCTTTTGTTATATCCCGTAAAATTTTTAAATATTATGGAAAATAATATTTAATAAGTTTTTATTTTGATAAATGTCATTTATTGGTGAATGAGTGTGATAGTAATTGATTCGAGATCAATTAAGTGTATATATAAGAGCATACAAGTGTTAAACATGCACACACATGCAAAACCTGTAGGCTGGAAAATGCCTCGGGTAAGTCGACTTATGCTTGCCTATAAGTCGACTTATGCTTGCCTATAAGTCGACTTATAGGGTGATAGATTCTATGTAGGTTTTGTTTTTGGGTCTGTTTCGTTTTGGTTCGGCCCGTTTGCGTATATAAGTGTATATATATGATATTTCTCTATTTTCCTTCATCTTCCACATGAATAAACAGTCACCCTCTCCCCTCAAAACCCTAGATCTTATTTTGATGAATTTTGAGAGCTTTGTGAAGCAAATACCGAGAAGTGGCCGAGTTCGTCAGCTTTTGGTTAGAGAGAACCCGTTTTCTTGCACTATTAGGGATTCCAGTACGTGTTGAGGTGAGTTTCATCTCCTCCAATCTCATCAGCATTTTTATTTGATTTTTATTGAGTTTTATTTGGTTTTATTGGGCCTTGAAACATAGTTTAAGTATAAAAATTGTTCTTTTAAACTATAAAACAGATTTTTGATTCCAGTTTTAAAATAAATGTAACATGAGATTTTGTTTAGATTTGTGGTTTTCATGATGATTCTTATGAACATGAACATGTTAGGGTTAATAGAATTCACCAAACCTGATAAATTGAGATTTCATGTAGTTAATCGAAACCTAATCATATTAAACAAGTTTAATTATTTATGTTTTACATAATAATACCAATTAGATGAATTGTAAATCAAAGTTTTGCCCTGATGCACACTTTCATATTCTGCTCGGGTTGGTCGACGGAAGCAAAGGAGTCGGCCGACCGATCCCGACAGCTCTGCGTGTGCACGTTTGTGCATGATGCTGACCGGTCGACCGATGGTATACTTCGGTCGGCCGATATGATGTTGATTTGGGTATTTATGTTTTGCTACATTTGTATGTTCGCACGCACGAAGCACGAGTCGCACATGCGTGTCCATGTGGAGTACGATTTGGGTTCGAGTACACATAGACCTTCGGGACCAGGTAACCTCAGGTTTCGTTTTTGCCACGACTAGAAGATGACTAAATAGAGTAGTATATGTCGATTCGCATGGTGGTGCGATGAGGCTAGTTAGCCGTTTATCTCGACGCGTGATGCGATGAGGCTAGTTAGACCATGCGATGAAGCTAGTGATCCGTCTATGTCGATCCGCTTGGTGATGCGATGAGGCTGGTGAGCTGTATATGTCGATCCGCACGATTATGTGATGAGTAGTAGGATTTTATAAACAATGTAAATGTTTAAGTTTTCTTTCTTTCTTTTCTTTGATAGGAAGGATCTGTCAATTGCAGCAGTATAAAAGGCAACAGGAAACATAGAATAGCTTCTTGTTCAGAAGAATCTTCGAGATTATATTGTGTAGGGTTTTCGAGATAATTGTATTTTTTTTTGGGTCTGCTATGTTTTCCGGACAATGCAATGTGCTCGTCCGGTAAACTTTTTGAAATCTCTATCTCCATATACTAATTGAAAAAAGAGAATCATGATTCACAAATCAAAGCTTGAAATGAAAATTTAATCCTAATTCAGACCACCAAATGTCTCTAGCTCTAGCAAACTGTAATCAAGAAATTGCAAAGGTAATTAACTCGGAAAGCTCAGAGCATATTATACATCATATACGCTCAATTCAGGGAGGGGACTTCAAATTGTCAAATTTATCCCATATATTCATCCTGAAAATGTAAACTATTAGCATACACTAGGCAACAGTACCACACAATATAGATTTATCATCATGTTTAGTTTCCACAACAACAAACAGCTTTGAGCCTCAAATGACCTTTATTTTTAGTGCATAAAGTTTCAAACAAATGCCTTGATTTATGTTTTTAAGGTACACAAAACCTTCCACAATCCAATGTTGCAACGTTGGTCTTTGCCTCCTTGAGTCTATTTCCGATGTTTCTTTGCGTCCTTTTCTTTCTCTATCGTCTTTTTTAGCTTAGCTGAATGTGCGTGTTTAGTGTGTTTATTTGACATTGCAATGTATCAATCCTGTATACTTTTTGACGTCTCCATATCTTATATGCGTATACTTTTATTGAAAAAACAGAATTAATCATGATTTACAAATCAAAACTTGGAAAGTAAATTTAATCCTAATTCCCATCACTAAATGCCTCTAGTACTAGTAAATTGTAATCAAGAAATTGCAAGTTAATTAACTCGGAACGATTTGCGCATATTAATATATATATATATACACACACTCACTCAATTTCAGAAACAAGCATCAGATTCTAAAATTTATCCCATATATTCATCCTAGAAATGAAAACTATTAGCATACACTAAGTAACAGTACCACACAATATAGATAACAGTGCCACACAATATAGATTTAGCACCATGTTTAGTTGCCGCAATAACAAACAGCCTTGAGCCTCAAATACCGATTGGTAAACGCACAAATATTGTTCAGGCATCAGACCAGGTAATGTCGTAGTCCCCCACTTGAGACTCCGGTATATCCAACGCCTTCCACACCGCTGGGGATGCATCTACTATATTATTGGGGCATGGCGGTTGGAAGTCATGATCAGCATCGCAGCCGTGCACAGAATCGCACTCATCCACCACTTTGGCTCTCACCGACTTACCATTAGCGTTGATGTTGATGTAGTTCAAGCATCGGCTTCCTCCATTGTACCAGCCAGTTGATAATGCAACCACCTTTTCACTGTCGCTGTGGTATTTGTTGTCGCACTCAGACGGGCCTCCTCCATCACCACCCTTGGCAAAGCTGTTGATGGTCATCGTCGCACGGGTGTTGCTCGTGATTGGAGGAGAGCAGCGGTACTGAGGGTACATCTTACCTGCTTCGCAGCAGTCAGAGTCATTCTCTGTGTTGCAGTGGCCGGTCTTCCCTCGCAAATGCCCGCTGGCACGGCAGGATCCGACCATGAATCGATGCGAGGCTACGAGACTTAGGCTTGAGAGCGCTGCGAGCAGAGCAATAGCCATTATTGCTAATTGAGGAAATCTAGCAGTTGCCATCTTGATTCTTGCTACAGGTAAATGTTTCTAAAGTTCGTTGTGGTCTTTGCAATTTGAGCGCGTAGGGTTTTATAGCGTTGGAATAGCTGGAGGGGTAACGTTCAGAATGATGGCGTACGTTAGGCTTCTTGGCTAGCAAAGTTAACCACACGGCCATTTATCCACTTAGTTTGTTGTTTATCATCAGACTGCTTGCTTTGACCCTTCCCTCTCTCATTATAGGCTAGATCACACTATAGCATTTTGCCGTAAACTTTCAAAATCGCACTAAATCCCTAGTAACTTTTCTGTTTTACAAAAACCCCCGACAAGTTTCTATATTTTACAGGTAACTCCCATAAATTAAAACGAAAAAACAACACAAAAAGGCATTTTGAAACTTAATTACTAGGGGGTTTAGTGCAATTTAACCAAAAGATATTGGACCTTTTCTGCAAAAGTTATTGAGGGTTTAGTGCGATTTTGAAAATTCGTAGGGGTTTATAGCAAAACACAGAAAGTTCATGGGGGTTTTGTGTAATTTACCCATCTCATTATTTATTTTAGAATTTCAGATGAATTTGTCAAACAACCAACACTAGCGGACAACCGTATATTTGAAGAGATTTAATGAGTATGAAATCTGTCATACACAACAATGTGTGACACTATCAATCAAGTTGTTACGTACAATCAATCTGGAACGATATAATTATATGCTTAACTTTTGACAATCCGCTTCCATATTTAATGGGAATGTAGCAGTTAAATTCGTACCTTAATCTGCTGGATACTAAGGCTGTAGACTTTCTATTTCAGCTATAATATCTTGTACTATAAAATGTTGTTTAAAATTGCAAAGGGGTCAGTGTTAAAAAAACATGGTTTTATTATTTGCTCGGTCCAGAAGCTTTTAATGATTAATCGGGTTACGTGTTAATTAAGCAGATTACGCAGAATTATGCGGTTTTGAAATTGTTAATATATATTTAATAATTTATTGTATTTTTAAAATATATAAAATTCATGAAAATAGAAAATATACTTAGAAAAGACCAATAAACATCCAATATAACAATCAATAACTACTTGACTACTTGAAAGTTTAATTCATACATCAAACCAACTATATACTTAAATAGAAGTCGATAAATTAAACATTTAAAACAAAACTAAGCATCCATAAAAGAAAAACAAATCATCTAATCTTCATTATCATCCTCATAATGAACATTAGCACCAACTCCTCCTTGGAGGGAATAGCGGAGGAGAGGACAAAGTTTATCTTTTCTTTTCTTTTCTTTTTTTTTTTTGAGAGATGGAGTTTTGATGGAGCAAGAGTTTTGGTGGAGTAACCATGATGTTTAGGGTTTTTTTTTGGAGTGTCGAAGGATGTTGGGCACCGACACGCCCACTCGTCGCGGAAGCGAATCACCTCGAGAGAAAGCCCTGGCTTTTGTTTTCACAAAACTCAAGCTAATATCGATGTTCCTGTTTGAATATGAAACAAGAACAGAAGTGAAATATCTCAGCAAGGTGAGATATACACTCTTCCCATTATCAGATCTAGATCTGAATATCGAGGAAACCAACCAACACAAGTAATAGTCAATACACGACTAAACAATAAAGAAGACACGGGATTTACGTGGTTCAGCAAACTTACCTACGTCCACGGGAGGGGGTGAATGGAGATCCCACTATGATGGAGAACACCCACGATTTGCACAACCAGCAAGCTCGTCCCAAAGAGACGAGGCTTCGATATTACCCAAGAGAAGATGACCTCTTTCTTGTACAATCGCTCCAAGTTCTCTCTATTTTCTCTCCTCAAAATCTCACCTTTTTAGATCTGAAAAAACTCTATGTTGCAGCCGGCAAACCCTCTCTCTGAAACCCTAGGACGAGGTTCCTATTTATACCAAGAAAACAGGGCTAAAAAACCAATTATGTGCCTAAGTACCCGTTGTCTCGGCGCGGCCCGAGACACCCTGAGGTGTCTCGGTGCCGAGACACCTCAGGGTGTCTTTTGCCGAGACAGCCGAGACACCAAAGGGTGTCTCGCGCTCACAAAGTAGATAAATCGATTAAGGAGGGAGCGAAGGAGCATGAGCGCAAGGGAGCAAGGGAGTAAGAGAGAAGAATTAAATTTAGAATTTTGTGCCAAAAGGGTGGCGGCTTTTTAATTTTTGAACCTAACCTGCAAACAAAAAAGTGCCCACATAACTCAATTATGCGGGCGCTTAATCAAACCGTTTTGAGTGCTTAATGCTAATTCTTTGCAGAATTGGTTCGATTCCGCTTAATTGACTGATTAAGCAGTCGCGCAATGCTTGTTTTAGAACATGAAAAGGGATTATATAAATTCATTAGTCTTAATACTTACAGTACCAAATTCAAAGTGAAGTTTTAAGTTTATAAATTTAAAATTTTTATTAAATATATATTGTTATTTTTACCAATTTAGTAGTATAAGAATAAACACTCTACATTAAAACTGTATAAATATTGGACATTGAAAGGATATTACATTCAAATGTTAGACCAAACAACCACAACTCGATAATATATGCTATTCTAGGGTGGATGCACGTGCCTTGGACGTGGTCAAGTATCTTTATTGTATATAATAAAGTGTATTAAAGTTAGAATACTGGTACTTATGACACAATTGATTTTTTTAATTATTCGTGAATGTGTTTCTAGTATTTATGACTTAGGGGCCGACACAAATAAATTCATCAATTTTTTATGGCACGCCTTTTCCCTAGTTTTATGACTTAAAAGGTCTACTGCACAATTTTTTAAATTTGAATCTTAGTTTATATATACACACACATCCATATATATATATATATATATATATATAAAGAGTTGTTCTGCAATTTTTGAACCTTTTAAGTGATGATTCATAATTTTTGTAAATATGAGGACCTTTATGTATATTTCAGAAGATCTTGGTTCTTTATAATTTTTAGAAAATTTGCACTTTTCTTACCATTTTAGAAAATCTTGACCTTTCCGTAAATTTTACAATAAAAATTGGATTTTTCTTTAATTTTTAATTAGAAAATTCTAGACTATGTTATAATTTTCAAAACAATCAAGCCTTTTTTGCAGTTTTCAGAAAATCTGGACGATTCTATAATTTTCAAACAGTTTGGACCTTTCTGCAGCTCTTAAGGTTTATAGGAACACCAGAACCTCCTAAATTAATAATAAACTCCTCAATTTAGATTGTCCATATAACAAGCTAAATGAGATTCAATTAATGACAAATGTACCCTTGTATATTCCCTCAAAAGGGAAAAATATAGTAAATATGTTTGTTTCTTCCACTAATCTTAATGGCTTATGACGATATAACGGGACTAACTGTTGAAAACAGCGAAGGAATCGTTGAGAAATGTGGAAAAACATGCAAAATCAGCACTACAGGAAAACCTTCGGGTCGGTCGACCGATTGCATGGGACTGGTCGACCGATCTAATGCACATTACAAGGTTTGAAAACCCTATTCTGGTCGGTCGACCGATGTACTCTTATCGGTCGACTGATGGAGGTAGACCGGTCGACCGATAGAGAAGCACCGGTCGACCGAAAGCGGATACGGGCTGAAGTTGGTTTTCTAGCCTGTTTTGGATTGAGTTTTGATATAAATAGAAACACGTCTTTCTAGGGTTTTGTACTAGAGATTAACAGAGAATTAGCACTGTTTTGAGCAGTTTTGTGAGGGAGATTATTGTGAGGGAGTGTGAGATCATTGGTTGGGTTATTTTGAGAGTTATTTGAGAGATTATAACCCGTTGTTTTACCTCCATATAGTAAAATCTCCCCATCCTCCTTCCGTGGACGTAGGCAATTTGTCAAACCACGTAAATCTCCATATTTGTGTGATTTGGCAGTTAATTTTGTGAATTGCACTCGTCTTTGGTTCTTCTCTCATCGCTCACCGACTCGGTTGGTTTGTGAGCACGCTTCCCACGCTTCCGCACGACGCGCAACAAGTGGTATCAGAGCTCAGATTTTAGATCTATGGTTTTGCATTGGGTGGAGGAAGATTTGTTGTTGGAAGCTTGGGTCTTGGAGATCTAGGCTTTGGTGAAGATAGCTTTGCGGAGTTGCCATTAGAGATCTCACTTTTCCTCGTGTGGTTAGGAGATCGTGTTGGAACCCTATCTAGGATTTAATTGGGTAATTTCTCAATTCTATCAAGTTCAAATCTTTCTTTGCAATTGGGGTTAGTTCGCAATGGGAGAAAAAGTTGGTGAAAGCAGCAAGGTGATGGCGAGTACAGTTCAGGTTGCACTTCAGAATACAAAAATTAGTGTTGTGAAGTATGACGGTAAAATCAACTTGGTTTGTGGATGAGTGATGTGTAAGACGCTTTGAATGCTCAAAATTTGGAAGAGCCCATCATGTTCCATGAGAGGCCACCGAAATATGATGAGGCGATATGGGACAAGATGAATCGAAACGCTTGTGGGATAATAAGATCTTGTTTGGAACAAGAGTTGAAGTTTGATGTGTTCGGTGTAACATTTGCGATGAAGATATGAGAGATTCTCAACAACAAATATCTTACGAAGAGTATTGAGAACCGATTGCACTTGCTGCGAAGATTGTTCAGATTCCAGATGTCCAGGGGTACCTCACTTGCAGATCATGTGAATAACTATACAAAGTTATTGCCTGACTTGGCGAATGTGAATGAGAAGATATCGGATGAGTAGAAGGTGATTATTTTATTAGGCTCCTTACCCGATTAGGAGTATGATACATTCGTGTTCACTTTGTTAAACGGTAGATCTTCCATCACCTATATTGAAGGGACTAATATGTTAACAAATTTCGGCTTGAGGAGGAAGGATAAAGAATCTTTCGGAGCTAGCACTTCAGGAGAGATCTTGTCAACGAGA